CGTGGCTGCCTCTCTCTCTCTCTCTCTCTCTCTCTCTCTCTCTCTCTCTCTACGCGACAGAGTATACCGCAAATAATAAATAAAGGAGGGCTCACCGAATAGAAGGGCGTGCGCTTCGCTATGGCACGTCTGAATTTCTTCGAGCGTGGCCTTGCGCGAGCGCACCCGATCGCACCGCTGCAGCAAGCCGGTCTCCGACAGTCTGGCCCACACGCTCTGCAATCGGCCGCCGTGCTCGGGATGACCCCTGACCGTTTCGCCGCAAACGCACGCGTGCTTCAGCATCAACGGATCGTAGGCTAATCCCGTGGTGGGTCGATGCGGGGAACCGCGCGCGAACATGTCGCCGCCGCCACCCTGGGGACCTTCGTGCAGATTCAAATTACGTTTCATGAGCCGAGAGGAACATGTAGCCTAAGCCCTTTGGAAATTTGAATTAAACCTTCACGGGCGTTAAACCTATCAAGAGTCGAGAGAGTGTCTGTGAAACTTGAGATTAGGTGTTAGAGGCGCGGACATTCTCTTCTCTATTCCGTGTTCCGTGTCGCGGACGCGAACAGTCGAGATCACAAGCGTGTTCGTGTTACGGTTCGACGGAGAAAGACAAGAATTGTAGTTTTGTTAAGTTTATTCAACATGTATCAGGCAAAGCAAAGCTAAATATTAATAGCACGCGTCAGTCAAGTAAGTAAGTAAACCGAAAACTCTCAGAGTACGTCACCGCACATCTACACGAAGAAGCAAAGAAGATTGACAAGACCCGATGATGATGATGATGATTCTTTACCTAGATGCACCAGTGGACTCGACAGCGCCCTCGAGAGCGGCCTGGCCGACTGCGAGGTCCTACAGCTGCTGCTGTAGACGGTCGACTCGTTCGTCTGCAGGGTGTGTCGCATCATGAGGTCTCTCTGCTGCTGCAGAAACTGCTCACGGTCCCTCTGCTGCTTCGAGATCTCGCTCTCCTCCGGCAGATCCTTCTTGCCGGTGAGATCTATGACCTCGGACTCCTCGGTCTCCGGCGCCTCGTCCAGCTGATTCGCCTGGGTCCGTGAGCCGACTCGCGTCAACACCGTCTGGCGGATCTGCTGCTTCAGGTAGTTGTGCGCCTGTTGCTGGTCGTGCAGCTGCTTCTCCGCGAGGTACTCCTCGTAGTGGGTCGTCGGCGCGATCATGCCGCCCTGCAGCATCGGGTGGCCGAGCGGCAACGGCGCTGATTGCGTTCTACCTGTGTGAGGAGAGGAGACGAAGAGAGTCGCGTGAGTGTCGCGCTTGACGGTCGCCGTCGGCGATGGAGAGGACGCGTGCTGTGTTTCGCGCGAGAATGGTCCCTCGAGAAACCTCGGAGATGGCCGTCGGCCGCGCCGGGCGTTGAGCCCGAGCAGCTGGGGGCCACCACACCACACAACCCAATAAGAGAGCAAGTCCAGCCTTTGCATGAGACTCGCGTTCTTCTCGGCGGTGACCATTGTCCGGAACAGGGCACGCGCACGTTAAGGGCTTCTACGTAGACAAAGAGGGAACATACTACCTAAAGGCCGGTGACCAGCCTTATGCAGTCTTGCGTGCGCTACTTGTGTATCCGTGATCGGCGCGGTATGGTAGACCGGGTGCTGCCGACTGCCGCCCACCGGCGGCGCCTGCTCCAGGTTCTGCATCTGCTTGTAGATGTACGTCGGCTCGCCCTCGATGACCGTCAGGGACGGATAGAACGGTAGAGTGCCGTGCAGCATCTGACCGGTGAGCGGCATGCCGAGACGCGCCGTGAACGCGGCGCGCACCTCCGCTTCCGAGACGGGCGCCAGCTTCGTTCCACTCTGCCAACAACAGAATCCGTCGAATCGGACACACGCACGCCAGACAATATTTTTCATAAGGTGTAATTATGTGTGATTTATTACACACGATTACACTTGAACAATTGAGTCGTTGTCCACAATGAATAATAATTTACGAGAACACGAAGCGAAAAGTTTCCTTCGCACTCACCGACGAGCTCGACGGCACGTGAGGTCTGCCCAACGAGATGTTAGGCATGGACGGTGAACTGAAGAGTGAAAGATCCGAAAGGCTGCCTTGCTGACTACTGCTGGTAAGACGTCCTACGTACGCCGGATTCTCACTTTCCTGCGACACGAAGATCAAACGAGACATTTTATTTTCCTTTTTCTCCGACTTGGAGAAGATCGCAGTGTATGGACGTGTGTGGTGAGTGAACAAAGGGACTCACCTCCTGTATCGCCGTGTTGCTACCAGCAGTGGGACTGGCTTGAGAGTTGTTCACGGTCGGTGGAGAATTAGGCCCGGATTCGGGATTGCTGCCAGAGTCTGAAAAACGCACAATTAATACGTCGAAACCCCGAGGCTGGAGGAGGAATGTCGCGTCTCGTTGCGCAATGAACGAACGAATGAACGAACGGGCGAATGAGACGCGAAATAAGACGAAATAATCGCGCGCGCGCCCGAGTCTCGCTCGTGACTGCACTTTAATAACGCGCGGAAACGATGAGGTAGACTCGCTCAATGAGATCTCCCAGAAATAACGGCTCCCCACAGTCGTAACGTACGCGGACGCACTAAAATCTCGGCCGCGACGACGATGAGAAACCAATCCGGACAACACAGTCCGTTCGAAAGACGTCGTAAAGGAAGAGAAGCCCGACGAAGAGAGACGTCCTTCTCAGACACGCGTCTCGCGATTTCTCTCGCGCTAAATCCGGGGGAGCCTCCTCCTCGTCCATTCTCGCGGCTCGGAAATTTCCGCTGCTTTGCAGCGCCGATTTACATAATGTTAGTCGGAGATGTTTCGTGCATGCTGTTACGGGAAAGTTAGCAAACGTCAAAAAAAAAAAAAACGCAACAGTCAATTAATCGAACACGGGGTGCAACGAGATAGATAGATAGATAGAGAAAGAAAGAGATATATATGTATGTATGTATGTATGTGTATATATATATATATATATATATATATATATATATATATATATATATATATATATATATATAT